CCTCTCTTCCTTGCCGAAGGGCAAGGGCAGGAATGCGTTGTGACCTAGAACACAACCTTAGCCAACTTAGCTATGTTTTGCACAGGCGGCCAACATGCAACTGCCTTGCACAGAACGTTTCTGCTGGCAGCATCATCCAAAATGCACACAAGACGCCAGTGGCCAACACCAGAAGTCCATGTTGAACGCGCTTGCGACTCTTCATGCCAACATTGCTTGAGAGGCATGTCGGGAAATGTCGGGAATGCCTCTGCCGCCTATGCCTATGGTTTCTTAACACCAGTTGAACCCCACAAACATGGCTGGCATTCAGAAAAGATTTGCAGTGTAGGCCTCTCCTGTGAATTATAAAGAAGCGAAGCTAATAGAGTGAGCGAATGCATGATCTCACTTAAGAGCCCTCAAAGCCCATTGTGCGTGTGTGTGTGTGCACCCAGAAATTTACGACTGGAGACTGCGGCCCATGTTCATGTTCATCGATGGATGTTGTGGAACGGACATCTCAGCATCTTGGCAATCTAACTGAAGTTGTTTGGTCTGACTTCGCCCGAAGACACCGTGAATTCCTGGCTGTTGACCCGTGCCTGGCTCCCGTACGTTAGCAGGGGACCATCCAGTTGCTATGTGCGATATGGTCCAACGAAGCGGCCATAGCAATTGCGGAAATCAGGGCTGATCACCCTGATGTACCTTCAAAGAGAGATATAGTGTTTGTGACATCTTCTAACGTGCAGACCGTATATAGTTCAGCCATGTGGTGATCCTTGCTGTGCAAGCCCGAACGTTTTCTTTATTTACCCTTCATGAAATCGTTTGCACCTTGGTCTGCGTTTTCATGTGATGCCACTCGGCTTGCATTTTATGTGACTTGGGCAGCAATAAGTGGGCCTCGAGAGGCATAGGGCATAGAGTTCATTGAAAGTGTGAGTGGAAGCTAAGCAACCGGTCTGTTCCTTGGGACAGTAGCAGACTGTGATCTCCCCTGTGGGGGGCCATAGCAGAATGCTCTGAGTTTTCATCACTATCTGCAGCTCGACACCCTCGAGAAGGCTTCTGCCCCGAGAAGTCCGCACAGCTCGTCCGTTCTCATCTTTCAAAGAATACTATGAGTGGAGTTGTCATCTGATTGGCTTCGGTTCTGTAAACAGGATACGCGAAACACTCTGTATCAGATGCACTAAGGGGATTGGGACAGTGCAGTGTCTTCCTCCACAGCTCTCTTTTGCACAAGCGTTGTTCCTGTAAAGACCCTGCTTGTGCTTACGAGACTTCCGAGAAATTTCGAGCAGGTCTGACTTTCTCCTCCTGCCAGCACCATCAACCAGTTCAAGTCCCACAAAGGAAGGCGTTCTCACAAATGTCTCTTCCACTGGGATTGCCGCCTCGGCTCACTCTGCATTGAGTGGCTCGTGATGCTCGACGGACGTAGTTTCCCTCGCAATCTGTCACAGACTGCAGAGCACAGTCGTCGCCATCTTTGCCGATCTGTCTCCCGATGCACTCAGGCAAACAGTTCGGCCCTGTGTGGCACACAACCTCTGAGCCGGGCTTGGGCTGGCATTGCAGAAACCCACTCGCAGCACCCAAGCACCTGCAACACAGCTTTCAATAATCATGACAGATGGGCTGAACGAGATGTGACTTGCGTTTTACATTTTTACCCTCGCAGTACGAACTTGTGCCATTATTGTCTATTAAGCGACTGAATGGTTGACTCCGGCCTGTGGTAACCTGAGCACACCAACTGACCAGCACAAGGGTCGCTCGGCGCCTGGCTGGGACACCTCAGTTACCAAAGTCATACCAAAGTGTTGCCAACCAACTTGCAAGCTGGAAAACTTTTGGCAAAGATTCGGCGACGCTTGTCGCAGGCGTGCAAAGAGCTCAAGACAAGATGATCTGAAAACAGTGCAAGAAATGGCCTTGTGCTGAGTTGCGCCTGAACTCGATCGGATGGTAAACAAGGTTAAGTGTAAAGATCTGTGCCTCATGACTAACAACACCCCAAGGCAACTGACGGGCGAGGGCAGCCTCAACAATTTTGGACCTACAGGCTAGGCTGGCAGGCCGGCAGGCCGGAGAACGGTATCGCATCAAGTCACTCGGAAACCCAAAGATCTCCGGTCCATCCCAAGAATCCCGCCAACGCGGTCGGTCTGTCCCGATGCTCGCCCACCACCAACAAGGCGGTGAATCATGTTCGGACGGCTCGCAGCATTGAGCCGCCACAACCCTTCATCGACTACACTGAACCCTCCAGCCCAGGTTGCCTTTGCGCACACTGTTGTTGTGTTCGGTCATATTGCAGCGAATGCATCATTCATCCGCCCAGCGAGCGTATGCGATGATTCTGCAACGCAACGAACTCGAAAGAGCAAACGGCACATTGCATCAATCACTGCCTAGGGGCGACTCAACGAAAGTACCTCGGCAGCACGTCGGACAAGTCTGGCTGGGTGGCGCAATGGTCTTCACACTCCACTGCCTCAGTGAAATTTCAACCGCGTGAAACTGTAAACGCTTCGCACTTCTCTTAGAGGCCAAGTGACGACTCTGCCGTGGGCGGTTGTGCATCTGATTCCTCTTCGTATACTCTGGGCAGTATGCACAAACAGTCAGAAGCAAACGATCGTGAAATCTCGTTCCTCCTACGGTACTGATAGATTCTAAATGGATCAAAACGATCTAGATTCAAAGCGGCACCGGGGGCTTAAGAAGTCCTGCGCGGCGAATGCTCCTCGAGTTAGCGCGTCACCAGCACCTTCTATGGCCGAAACGTTCTGCAAGTGGCCAGCCCCGGCCGAGTGTGACTGAAGCTGATGAAGTTGGCCATCATCGGTCTCACTTTGAACGCTATGAATCCGACGATTCACGACACTGGTCGCCAACAACTCCAATCCAGTCTCACTGGACGCGTGACTGGCCAGTGGGCTAAGGCTTGTGTCGGCGGCAGCAACTCCAAGAAGTATCTTCACCAAACCACATCTCATCGAGATCAGCGGAGTGCTCCTACACTGCACGCTCCGAAAATTGATCGAATCTCGATCCTCGTGGCCGAGTTTAAGCAAAAGCTCAGACATCCCCCCTGCCCCGTCATCCCTTGTTCCCAACTCATGCGCAATGTGAGCGCTTGGCATGCAAGGCTACTTGGCAGCGCGTCGTTTTCCATCCGAGATCAGCGAGGTCAGGTGAAGATAATGAAAGGTATCATTGCACAGAAGATGGCCACCTGATGCATTGCAAGGGCACTGCTTTTCGAGGTATGCATCTGGCATGTGGGCCTGTTCAGGACGTCTAAGACCCGTGCGCTAAGTCCTACCAAGAGCATTGTGCCTCAATCTCATGTCAGCTGCAAGCAAAAGGTGTGAGGCCATGCGATGCCATGTTCAATGGAGTTGACCAACGCATGATGTCAGAACTGCTGCGAGGCGCATAGGAAGCTCATTTGGCCAGAGCGGAGCATCTTCTTGCCCTTCTCTGAGTGTGAGGACACATTGTCCAAACCTCAAAAACCCAAAGCCCAGAAGCGCGAAGGTGCTTACAGCGGGAACTTTGAATTCGGGAGCCAGACTCCGCTGCTGTGCCGACTGCATCTCCTGCCAAATGGAATGCAATCAATAAGCGCCACTGCCATGCAACAACTCAGGAAAAACGATGCTGCCTCCAGACGCTTGTTGTCTTTTTGCAAGGTCTTCAAGAATGTGTTTGCAGCACCTTCACGCCAACATACAAGAGTCGATGCACTCACAAGAGCTGTGCTGCCAGCTTGCTGTCAGGATGTGGAAAAGCACGTGACTTGGGGTGCCAGGGAGGGCTGAATCAGAAAAACACCTATGGAAAAACGCAAAGCTTCGATCAGACTGGGGGCAGACCGAATCAGAAAACATGCCGAGCTGAATCAGAAGACGTAGAAGCCGAGCCAGAAAACACCCAAGGTCAAAATTGCCGAAGATATGCGCCGCAAAAGACGAGAAGAGTCGTAATCGAAGGCCCCAATCGGAGAACGCGAAGGTGTCAGTCAGCAGACGTGAAAGTAGAAAACGAAGAGGCCAAATGCGGAAACGCAACTAGCCTCGAGCCATCGAACGCAAGCGGCAACCTGATCAGAAGAACAAATCGGTCGTCTGGTTTGTCGGGCGCGTCGGAAGGTCCCAACCTGAGAACCAAAAGGGGTCGGCGCCGGAAAACGAAGGAGTCAGTCAGAAAATGTGACAGCAGAAATCGAAAAGGCCCAATGCGAAAGCGCAACTAGCTCCGAGCCAACGAACGCAAATCAGAAGAACAAATTGGTCATTTGGTTTCTCGGACACGTCGGAAGGTTCCAAGCTGAGAACCAAAAAGGCGTCGACCGGAAAACGAACGAAGGTCGGTCAGAAACCATGAAAGCAGAGAACGAAGAGGCCCAAGGCGAAAACGCAGACTAGCTTCGAGCCAGCGAACACAAACCGCAACCGGATCAGATTAATTCATAGTTGTTTTTTGTACGTAGGTTTTTCGGTCGCGTCGGCAGCTCCAATCTGAAAACCAGAAGGTGTCAGCCGGTAGATGAGAAAATGTGAAAGCACAAAACGAAGAGGCCCAATGCGAAGACACTACGAGCTTCGAACTGTCGGACGCTGCAACAATCGGATCATGAGCATAGTTTGGTCATTTGGTCATTTTCGGTCGCGATATTTTACGACAGTGAACACCAAACCCTCCTCGCCGCTGACAAGACATATTTACACCCCAAACCATTGAATTGCTACCCATATCTGGCTGTGACCAGCTGGTCTGTCGGTCCACCATCAAGAAGATCTGGAGGTTTCCCGAACAGGGCAACACATGCAGCTAAAGAAACACTTTCACATCCCCACTTGTTGTGTTTTCATACGAGAACCCGTCTTATTATACATTTGGGACTCGGCCTTGCTATTTCCATCGTACACCCTGTTTTTAAACCCAAACATATGCTGTAAACGATTCGAGTTTGGCTTCGACCCGCGACGATTGTACATTTTGGAAGGCTGCCACGGTTTGGGGTAGGGTTGCGGGTGTCAGGCTGTCGGCTTTTGGCCTTGGACCTCCACGATGCTATGGTTCCGCAAAGTGGTCGTAGACTTCTTCTTGCACATTCCCTGTCTTGCTGGACATGGTCCGGAAGCAATCCATCGGCATCTTGAAACAGCTAGCTGCTCGTCAACAGCATTTACATGGGCATTTCCCAAAGTAGCGTGCCCTTAAAATTCCCCCCCCCTCCCCCCCAAATACAATAATCCCTCTCATAGGCTTCCGTCTGGAAACTCGGTTTGGACGACCTTTTCCCACTGAGACCTTCGGCTTGTCGGAATCCCTTCCTTGCTCACTGAAGCTGCAGTTTTTTGACTTTTCGATGGGCCTGGCTGCTTCGGACTAGGCCCTGTTCTTTTCTGGTCCGAGCAGTGTTAATTATTGATACAGCCCAGCATTTTCGGACAGACGCTGCTGCTTGGGGAGCCTGGAATGGTGGTTCTACCATTGGTGGGTGGGAAAGCATTAAAATATCAAGAATGTCAAGAAATGTTACATCCTGCGCCGGCCTTTCATGCCCTCTGCAAGATCTACCATGTCCGACTCCAGGCTGCTTCGGGCCTCAGGAAAAACTTGGCGGTGCTTTGATGTCTAGGATGGCATGCAAAACTGCAACAAACGGCTCAGGAAACTGAAAGCACTGACAACATCAGGTTTGAGAAGCGGGCAGCGTTTCCCGCCTCCGAGAACCTGTCATTCCGAGCGGTCATGAGTCCAACGAATTCACCAAGCTGCTGGCCGGTGGCTGCTGGCCTGCTCAAGGAGGCACGTCCTGACAGCAATTGAGCAAGTACAACGAAATGATGGCAGATTTCGGCACATGCCGCAAGTACAAAGGGTGCACGAATGCAAAATTGTGGTTCACCTGCGCGCCACGGCCTTGGACAAGTCACCGTTATGGAACATGCCCAGAATATGGAGACCATTCAGCTGAACGATGTCTGAGAAGAACCGACAAGCTTGCAGCCAAAACAAGCCCCGACAACTCAAGAAGTTGTTTTCGGGGAGCCCCAAACCGAGTCCCAAAAAGCCCTCCACGAACTCACCACTCGCAAACATTTACGCCATAAGAACAGCCATCCGGCAAAACCCTGCGACAGCCCAGAGCAGTGCACGGGGACAACCTCCTGTCCAACTGAGCGAAAGTTTCTGTTTGCCCCCCAAAATTCCCACAGTATGTTTGAAAATGCTAGGCAAAAGTCAAATGGTATGTTGCATAGCCAGCCCCATTCGTGGAGCGCTAAGGGAGCACACTGTTTACTTTTATAGTAGGGAGCGTGTCAAACTAAGCCAGGTGTTCTTGCAGATGTGGTCCTTTACAAACGCTGTTTTGGATGCCCAGCGGTCTTGTGGTCAGGATCATTAATTATATTAATTGCACAAAGGCTGAGGGCTTTGGAAGCCTTCTGGGCATATAGGTTCTGAGGTCTAGGGGTTTCGGCTTCGCACCCTTGGATAGAGGCTTCCGGGCTGTAGGGCTCGGCGTCAAAAAAAAGGAAAGCCCGCAAAGTACTAAGCCAATACCATAATCAGCTTGACGGGTTAGAGCTGATGCCGGAGCACGGACAGGCACCCCCCTCCATCCTCCCCCCACACCCAAAGCCCTTTTTTGGACCGCTTAGGAAACCGGGGTTGGCAGTTGAAGCCCGTCGCAGCAGGGCCCCCCCTTCCCCCCCACCCCCCCTCACCCCCCCCCACCCCCACCCCCCCCACCCCCCAACCCCCCCCACCCCCGCCACCCTCCCCCCACCCCCCCCCAGCTCAACTTTACGATCACCCGTCTCAACCCTCAACCTTGAACCTTGAACCCTAAACCCAAAAAATCCCTAAACCCCAAACCGTGAACCTTGAGCCCTAAGCCCTCAACCCTAAACCCCAAACCATAAACCATAAACCCGGAACCCTAAACCCTAGACCCAACCCTTATTGCTTGTCCAGCGACTTGGGCGCTGCGGAATCACCATGCTCACGTGGATGCGCTGGGCCGGGCCGAGGCGGGTCGCGAAACGTTAAAAATACTGGCTTCCTGTCCCGATAACTTAACAAGCTAGGTACCAGGCACGACCACTAGCGGCTATCTTTAAACTTTAAACCCCCCCAGTGTTCAACACTATCTGCCCTATCTTTATGGCCTCGTGTTTCTGTATACCGTCAAGGACAGGGAGGCACAGCTGCTGCCCCGAAACCCAATACAGCACATGTCCATCCATCCATGAAGCAATACATACACACACACACACACACCTCTACATATATATATATATGTATATATATATATATGTATATATATATGTATATATATATGTATATATATATATATGTATATATATATATATATATTGTGTGTGTACTTAAATGTGCCCCCCCCCCCCCCCCAATTGGGGACCAGCCTCGGAATCGAAAAATGCTTCAATATCGCACGCCCGTGTTGTCAAGAAGCATACTCCGGGGAGATGACAGTGTCTGCACACTTTGGGGTGCAGGGAGTGGCCGACTGTCAGCCTCACAGATATCGAACATCTTCGGCTGCCATGAACGGGCTGAGACTACAGCACTGCCTTGGACTTCGAAGGAAGGCCCGGAGTCTCACAAACAGGCACCTGCTACACGAGACTCATACGCCAAACAGGTTCAAGCTGAAGCTGGCGCCTCATTCAGCTCATCCAGTGTCTCAGCTGCTTTCTCGGGAAATGGCTCCGTCTGTGCTGGAGCTTCCGCTGCAGCTTCCGTCGCTGGAGCGTCTCCTGCTGAATCTGCTTCTGCGAATTTGGACCTCACTGACGATTACCACAACATTGCCAACAAATATACGTGCACATGCACTTGGCACTCTTTACTATGCTGCGCTCTCGAACTTTCTTTTGAAAACGGATTGCTTCTGGAAATTCAAGTCTGGCGCTGTAATTTGGCATCCGCTAGCACATTGCCTGGCCGGCCATTAGGCAAACCGCAAAGACTTTCAGCATGTGCTGAATTGTGGTGCAAGCTGCGCATGTCACTTTGCCCACCTCATGAATTGCACATGAACCCAATCACGAAACGCATGACAGACTGCAGGAGAACAAGCTCGGCCAGGTCGGCTCAGCAGCTCAATCCGGGTATGGTACTGTTCAGACAAGTTTGCTGACAAATTGTCCCATCGCCTTACACATCGCAACAGAACAACAAACATCTGTACACTGTACACGGCTGCGCTGTCTGCGGGCGAAGACAGTAGCATCGGCATCATTAGACTTAGGAGCGCGCTGCAACCGAGCTGTCAATGCTCTTGCATACGATGAAGCCTCGAAACCAGCTCTTCAACTTTCTTGCAGGCGGAAGCACCCGACCTGCCTTTGCCATCTGCAGCTCCACATCTCCATCCTCCTGCCAGCTTACAAAAAAAAAACATCATTGAGGCCTCTGAAACTGCAGTCGCGGAAGGCCACAAGCCTCAAGACAGCCTGACCCCAGCGCAGTTTCCAGATGCGCCAGAAGGAAAAGAAACCTGAAGACTACACTGGACAACAACAAGTTTTGAATTGAAATGGATACGAAATGGATTGGCTGTGTCTACTAAGCACCAGTAGCTGTCGGCAACTGTTCGCATAGTGTAGCCTTGGCAAGGTTCCAGGAAGTCTTGGACCGCTGAGGGCCATGCTCTGTAGCAGAGGCAGAGCAGGAGCTCCTTGGCCAAAACTTTTTACCAGACCTTGCTGTTGCTGATCCTTGCTTCGGTGCTTCTAAGGGCTCCAGTGTGCGAATTGAAAGCCATTTCCCTCTGTGAAGCACTGAGGGTACGCACACCTTGGAGAGCTTCTCGCCGCGACCACCGTCCATGCCAATGTGAAATTTCTCTTCTTACCGCTCATGGTCAACTACGTCCTATGCTGTGTTGCTTCAGCTGCCATGTGCCGCCCATGCTCCGAATAATTACTAGTAGCATTCTCTCATGGTCCCTATATGATGGTATCACAATACTTCCCCAAGTCCTATCCTGAGTATGAAGTCCCCTATATTAGGTCGATAGATAGACAGAGCGTACACGTAGCATGCAATAGTTCAATTGACAAACAATAAACATACGCTCCCCACTTTCGCCGGCCTCCCAGCTGAACTGCAGCGTTAGCATGCTGGACTGTTAACAAGCGCGAGCACAGCAGACTGCCGAAACTTGAGCCACGGTCTTGAAACTGCTGCGGCATGTAGCTAGTATACAGTGATGCTGTCGTGCCCTTTCTCTTAACTAGGTGCTGAAGTGCCTTTCTTTTTCAACTACTGCTTGGATCCACTTGCTCATACTGCTGCTGCCGCTCTTCGCAACATTCAGACCTTGCCAGGGACTCAGGTAGCCCGGTGCTGAGCCGAAGAAGATTTCAGACCGAGAGCATCGCAGTGTTTTTCCTGCCTTGCAGGGTGCTTGGGGAATGCTCGTCACGAAGCTCCGAAACTGAAGCATGCTGCAGACGGAACTGCCATGGCTGTCTGCCGCCAGGTGACCCAGCATGAGCTCGCCCGCTTCATTTTGCTGCTGAGCGGCTCTGCCTGTTATCCATCAGAATCTGCATCATGACACGTAGCGATACTGTGAGTCTGCAAGTCTCCACAAGGGGACGATGTGATATGTGAATATGTGGGACATGTCTGAGCTACCAACAACAACTTCCGCAAAAGCTGCGCACAGCAGCCAAAGAACACACAAGTAGAGGAGGAACACCTGCGAAATTCTTGCACGCCTCTGCTCCACACACATCAGCTCAACCACATTAAACTGCAGTGTGACCTGTGGTGTCCATGGTAGACCAGGCCACAGACCTGACAAAAGCTTGAGGCATTTCAGGGCTGAGTCGACCTGCGACACTAGCCCTGGGTCTTGCGCAGACTACTTTCAAGCTGAGACCCCGCTTTAAACTTTGAAGAGAACATACCAGCACGCCCTTCCGTACCCCTCACCGGTTGGGTTGTGTTGGGCTGAAACGGGGCGGCGCGCATGGATTCCCAGGCTGCGAACTTGCCAAGTTTGCCAAGAACCCATGATCCCAGAAGGACATACCATACCACTCACGACCCACCCATCCCAAAAACAGCAGATCCGCTTCCAGGGAGCCCTCCGCAATTTCTGGAGCCGTTTACGCCCAAGTCGTGGCAGAATCCATCTATGGCTGTGCAATTTGCAAACGAAGGTTGGTCCGCTTTGGACGCGTTGTGTCTCGAGCACTTCTCCACAGCAGCCCTTTTCAGTGAGGAGTGTCGCAGCACGCCATACTACATGTAATACTGTAGCTGTCGCGCCCCCGATCAAGCAAACGTTTTCACTCCACTGGCAACAGCGTGGCTCTTATCAAAAGATGCTCTATTCACTGATTATGAATCGACATAGTCTGTTAGCGGATGCTAGAGGACAAGGTCTTGTGAAGCAGGTTGCACTGAGAGTTTGCCAGCGCCGAGATAGCGCATACCATTGTCCTGCATCTGCACGATCTGATACTGGTAGCATCTTCTCCATGATTCCCTCACGGATGTAAGGCTCTTACTTTGAAGTTACATGATCATGTTGGAGGCATAAGCAAGACCTGAAGCCTGAGTTCGCAGCTGGAGCAACCAATATCAGGGACATGCGATAGCACTTGCAGGCAAGGAAGTGGTCGGAAGCGAAAGACCCCAGAACTGCCAGCAGTTCCTCAAGACCAACTACAGTGACTGATGTTTCATCCTTTGGTACCCCCCTTCAAAAAGAAGTTCTGTTGCAGGGTTTCCACGCAATTTACACCATGAGAATTAGCGTTTGCTAATTTAACTTGAGAGCAGGGCGAACGAAAGCTAGGGCACGGCAAACAGTGTTGCTTCATCTTCTCCCGTCAACGGGCAGTATGCATGTACAAAACGTGTCATGCACATCGCACAAATTCTTCGAATGCAAGTATACAGGCAGGTCCTGAGACCAACAATGTGACACGACATGCTCTTTGGAACTCATACGGGACTCATGACTATAGTTCTCAATAACCTTGGTTCCCCTCTTTATAATCTCGGCGGGCTCCGCAGGGGTGGGCATGTCTCTGCCGTATTCTCTGGCAGGACTTATAGCAACGCAACGCTAACAACAATAAGAAAACTGATGGCTCGAACAAGAGTAGTACGTACACACTAACAGAAAGAAGAAAGAGCAAGGGCAAAAACCCAGAAAGGGCTGTTGTGAGGCAGAAGTTTCGGGGTTGGTTGATCGTGCTTTATGATGTATAAAGCTTTTAATACGTTGAGAGCCTCACAACTGTCCATTCTTCAACAGGTGTACAAGGCTGTACTGCTTTAGAAAATAATGGTTTTAGCGTAAGTAACAGAAATAATGACCATGAGAACGCAGATGATGGCAATCGCAGAACAATCATTGTAGCAGAAGTGATGGTAAGAGGGATAGCAATGCTGAATAATCGTAGTACCTGCCCCGCCGCCCCCCCCCCCTCCTCCCCCGCCCCGCCCCTCCGCCCTGCCCCCCATCCCGACTCCTGCTACATCAAGGCACGCTACTACATGATCATTCGCACTTGTTCACGTGGACTGCATGGTTGGGCCTCCTGCGCCAGGTGCTCGAACATACAGGAACAGGTCATGCCTGTTTGGCGATGCTATCCGTTAGTCTCTTCTTTTGCGCCCTTTTGACCTAGGCCCCAAGCGATCCTCCCTCTCTCTCTCTCACAGAGTGGAATTTTGCAGGCACCAACACGGCTTCACGTGTTCGGCTGATTGTGCCATGCCAATTCGGTCATGACATGCAGTTAATCGTTCGGAACTGGCAGGGCATCCAGGTGCCCACGGTGGGAATTGCACAAAGCAACCTCTCGAGTAGGATTTCCGTCATAGTTGTCATCGTCGTCGAAGTCCGCCTCCACAATGCGATTCCTGGAAAGGCAGCCAACGGCGTGACTCTCCGGTGGATAGGCTGGCACAACAACACCAATCGACCCATAAACGCCACCGAAAATAACACGTGTACATTCCAAGCACTGGATGCGACTGTCAGGATTCACACTCCGGCAGGTTGCCGTATCTCCTCCGGAATCTCCTCCGAAGTGACGGTGCTTCAGGAACTTCTCGAAACCTGCGCTGGTATCGCTGCGGAAAAGCCAGACCTCGCTTTCCAAGGTCTCTTGTGTCGAGTCCCCTTGTGCTTGGAGAAAGCATTCCGTCCAAGATGGCTCTGAGGTGGCTGTTGGTATTGCTGGAGGCGGTGCCATAGTCACTGGACCGCCCAAAGCTGCGAGACCAAGGGACGCCTCATGCGACGCCTCAGAGCGCATGGAATGGCGCAGCTGGAAGCTAGCAAGGAAACTTGTCTTCCCGCAGAATGCCATCTGCCCAATCTGATCAAAAAGTCTCTGAGAAGGCCGTCCACCTACAGCGAGCAAACAAGCGAGGACTCCGTACTTGCATGATCGTCCCTTCCGCTTCGCACGGAAGAGCACGTGCTCCATGGCGTTCTGGTGAAACTTCTACACTGTCAAACGCCTGAAGCCAAGAAGTTCCCACATCAAGCTCTTGGCACTGCCAATGTCACCAGGCACAGGCATCCTTCAGTACTCTGCATGTCTGGAATCATCACTGTACTTACTGATTATGCACTGATACTGATTATTGCATTGCATGTGATGTCGGCGGTCGTCATCCCCAGCATCATCCGTTTCGCCGAGAATCTGCACCATCAGCTACATCTGCTACGCGTCGTGACGTGTTCTGACGAAGCTGTCCATAACAATCCAGAACGTATTCATTAACACATGCATGCTCGTAGTGGTTACGTCCCGGGTATCGACCGTCTATGACCGTCTCCTCGGCTGCGTCACAGACGATACCAAAGCAAAAGCAAAGCCATCCATCATCACTACCCGCATCTACCAGCCTCTTGCAGAAGGTGTCATCAAGCTTTATGGAGCCTTATATACTATGCCTGTGTCAGTACAGCCGAGAAGTTGCTGGACACCAGCAGCCCATGAAATTGCAAGATACTGCACGGCCGATGCAGATGAGTCTTTACTGAGCACCACAAGAACCAGACTGAGATCGACTGAGGGTCCGACACAGATGTTTGCAATAGGTAGACCTCCAAAGTGTAACGGCCAAGAGTGACCTCTTGCGGAGCAGGCAGTGAAGTTTGGCATCTGTATTCCAGCCCTGTAAGTGCGCATGCAGCTTCACTCGTCTCGCTGCACTGTCCCTGCAAACTTGCCAGGTTTGCAAATGGCTTCCAGGAAAGGATGCGGGCCGTCATCGAGTTTCCATCGAACGTACCTTGCCAAGCAGTCATTTTCCCTCGAAAGGACAAATCCGTCCACCTTTGTACAATTCTACGGGCCAATCACATTCGCAATACCACAAATCCGGTTTGGAGGATTGTAGGGATCTTTATGGGCAGCTAGCATCTCGACAAGACTGCTACCGAAAGCATCTGAAAGCCCTTTTCGCTGCAGAGTTCTGACCTCCTCGGGGGGGCTTGACTGCTCCAGCATTGGTATTTGCATATTTTGCATGGTTTTACAGAAGCTTTCCCTCGAATGGCGGGCGAAACTGGTATGCCACGGACTGAGGCTGCGGACCTCTAAGAATCTTTAGGCGCCCGCAGGGAAACTCACGCTGGCTGTTAAAGATGAGGTTCTTGGGGGCGAGTGTCACTTTGGTCTGACGCTAAAAGAACTGGATAAGATCACAACCCAAGCCATCTGCAATCAATCCGTGCATGCACAGTCCCTAACTGTTCCTAACTTCCATGAGGCTCATAAGGACTTAGAAGAAACCGCAACAACCTTCGATTGAACTCACACGAGTCAGAGAAGCGAGCCAGTGTAGCAATAGAGGAAAGTACAAAGGAGTGGTGCGGAAAGACGCGCTGACCTCGCACACATCGCTGACATGGCAGTCCGGGGTGGCTCTGAACCACGCCTCTCCCGCCCCCTGTGCGACGTACATGTATTGGAGGGGTGCATGGCTACTCATGGCTGCCCCGGCCTTCCCCTGACCTCCTGGACTTTGCACACCCTTCTAAGTGAAACTTTGTCGGGTGGGGCTTTGTAGCACAATAACTCAATAAAATCACGGGCATCATACTGGACCAAAGCCAGTCCCGCAGTTCTCGGCATCATGAAAGAACACCGACTCAAAGTGCGAGCATGACTCTTTTTGCCATGCGCTCCTTCTGGCGTGGCAAGTCTGAAGTCATGCAGGATGCTCAGTGGACGCAAGTTTGTTGAATCCGCGGTTCGTAGTCCCGCAGAGATCCGCAGAGGCTGGAACTCTAAGGAGTGCAGGTGCAAGTAGGCTCAAAGTGGGTGAGGAAGGGCGGGAGAGAATCTTCCTGTGCAGGGAGATCCCATGCTTGTGACCTTAAGCCGGTTGCATTGCACCGGCGTGAAAGGACTGACAAGACGATTACACCAGTCCAACCTTCAACCGCACGAACACGCTGGGATGCCGGGAAGGCATCTCGGACAATTCCTATGAAGCTGCCCAGCTGCCATGCAGCACCTTCAACGGAAGCGCCAGGTGCACGTCGCGGACCAGGGTCCAGGTGGAATCCCTGCTACATGAAAATCGGCCCCACAGATACCATCCCAGAGCCTGAGGCGGTGGTCTCGGAAAAATGTTGTTGAAGTTGTTGCAGCAGAAATGCATACGCACAACATCTTGATGAATATGCTTGCCTCTTGCCCCAATCAATGTGCTAAGGATTAGAGCCGCATGAACTAAATCTACAAAAACACCTTGCTTCTTGCGAATCGATTTTGCTTGCAGATGTCCAGGAAAGAACCTGCTCAAAAGAAACCTGATATCTTGAACTAGGCACGATCTGGAACATCTGTCAATTTCAGGTTCAAGGCAGCAAACAGCCTCCATTTTCACTCTCCGGTGAGGGCCTGGCCTTGATCATAATTTCGTCATTCGCCGTATGCTCTTCATTGGCCAGAAACACTGTGCTTGCTGAAACATCTCAACTTCTGGTGGGAAAAGGTCAATGGTTTAAACCCAACAATATGCCCCATGTGAGCGGTCTGGAGCGAATGATGGTGAACAATTTTGTCCAACAAGCACTCTTTTTCGCCGTAATCGAAGGCCACAAGTTCGTGGTGGCTTGTCTCTTCTTGTTGGGACAGTTCCAAGACCCAAGAGACCCAAGAGCTGCTTTCTGTAGAAAATCACGGCTCTAGGAAATCAGTGGAGCCAGCTACTGAGCAACAATCTCACGTTCTTCGCAATCAGGGCGCGCCGGGGGCGCAATCCCCGAGAACGCATTTTGTTCAGGCCTCGGACACGTTATGGGGGCAACCGTGCGAGCCATTCTTTCCTGCCTCCCGGCCAACCTTGAACAGAGCCTGAGTTGAGCCGGATCCTTGCAACACGGCAGTTGCCCAAAGGATTTGTCCGAGGCCGGAGAAAATCAGAGGCGTTGTGCCTCAGTGGCCTTGAACTTTTTTGACAATGCACAGACGGAACGGACGCGGACCCCGGAACGGAAAGAACGCAAAGGACACGCCCTTTCCATGTCCAGGCTTGTTCGATCTTGCTCGTACATGGGGCAGTGATGGGGCAGTGCTTCGAAAGGAAAATGCAGAATTGGAGAAGGTTGCGAGCTCTTAGTTCTGCATCAACAAACTCAATTTTTTGTCAAGTCGTCGGTGCCATACTGGCTGAATGGGGTTGATGGCACACAGAATTTACACGGCTGCCCGGCCAGTCGTGCGACTCTGCCTCGGCGAGGGCTCGGCTCCCATTCTCCCTCCCACAAGGAATACCCGTTCGACGATGCGTCTGTGACGAAGGGGCTCACAGAACACGGGCTGCCCTTTCGACGCTGCATCCTCCGTGAAGAAGGTTGGAGCATCAAAAAAGTAAGAAGCCACAGCACTCAGGAACGACGCGGCAGCGGCTACTTGCAGCATTGCAGACAGCACCTCTGTTTGTTCACAACTTTCCAATCCCCAGCCAAAACCATGGCGTGGCACTGGCTTGGCTTTGTTAGAGGCCTGAGGTCCTTGGATTGTGACGGCGCTACACGGGCCCTTTCGACGCTTTGTGTTCCGCGACAAGGCAGGTCCCACGGGGCAGCCAACACTGATTAAGACTAAGACAGAGTTGGAAGATTTTGTGGGGCACCCCTGCCCGTTCCAAAGCGCTCTGAGATTGTTGTCGTTCCTGTTTGGAGTAGCATGCCGCAGCCTCTAGAATAGATTTGACTTGGGGACATGGAGACAGATACCTTCAGCCCTACTCGGTCCTTCCTTCCTCGTGGGCGACTCATGAAAACGGGGCAAGCCATGCAAGGCAGCGGGAAATCACGAAACCAGGAACAGGTTGACCTGTCAGCACCTGTAACACCGCCTGGGCATTCACAAAGGATCAAGAACATCCCAAAAGCCTCATGCTAAAGTAGAGTTCAGCACTGAACATTGATCAGGAAGTTACACCTGCAAGTCCAAAATAAGTAAGGCCAGGTCAGTTGCTCCCAGGCGACATAGTGTCCAGGCCTTCGTTGTCCGCGCTGGCTGGGAAGACTCAGAATACTCTTTGAGTATAATCTCGCCTCCATTGGCGTGGGCCTCCCCAGTCTGGCGGTCTGTCTGGGAGTGGAACCTGTCCAATACAAAGCTCCCTGATGTGTGCAGGAGTGGTCAAGGCAGCCCCCCTGCCAGCGTGCACGTCAAGACCAAGATCAGCATGGCTACATCCCCAATCCAGCCGACCTGAACTCGTGTGCACTCCTAAGATGCTTGTAATCCATAACATCCATCATCATCCATGCAAGAACCTGTGGCATCGGCAGCACTTGGAGGCTTTCGGAGCACCTCATAGCCAGCTTTCTGGGCTGAACCAGAAGGTAACACAGCAACATTACTTCAGCGGCGCGCCAGAGCAGCGATGCATGCGCCTAGCCTGCGCTCGGAGTTGACTGCGGCTGCAAACAGTGGTCTTGTACGGTTGAGTCTCTGACTCTCTAACTTATTTGTAAGGTGGGTACACGAAGTCTGGCAGCAGCGCCGGTGGCCAAAACCAGGTGAAAGTGAACTGGGTCCATTCCAGCCAAGCCCGGCGAGAAAGCCTCGGACTTGGCTCAACATGAACCACATCAGATCACAGACAAGTCACACAGCAGACACCAGACTCATTTCTAAAGGTGAGTGAGTGCCTTGCATAAGCCACAGCCTGAAGCATGCTACTGGCAATCGAAACGCTAGCAGCATCTCATGGCAATTTTCTTGCCTTTTCAGCCTTTGCCCATCTTTGCACTAAACTGGGGCAGGCGCTGTGGAAAGATGGCAAAACACCAGGTGATTCCAGCCAAACACCTGAGAATCACATCGGCAATGCCGCTGTATTTCCGGGCTGCTCCAGTCACCGTCTTAGCTACCCGCACAAGTGTGCCGGTCGATCTGCTCCTGACGCCATCTCAGCCGGCTCCATGGGATGCCATTATATACAAAAGTTG